CCCCTACCCTGAAGGGGCTGTGGCCAGCCTGCAAACGGCCCCCAGCCCCTCACCCAGGATGGCCAGGCACCCCAGCAGGACACCCCCACCCCCAAAGGGGGTGTGGCCAGCCTGAAAACAGCCATCAGCCCCTCACCCAGGCTGGCCAGGCACTCCTATATAATAAAAGGGTAAAATGCAAATTTACCCTAACAGCAGAACGACTGAGAATGACTGGTCACTATGACACACACTGACCACCAGGGGGCAGATGCTCAATGCAGGAGCTGCCCCCTGGTAGTCAGAGTGCTCCCACAGGGGTAGTTCTGCTCAGCCACAATCCAGGCTGATGGATGCCAGTACAGCAGTGGTGGTGGGAGCCTCTCCCGCCTCCTCAGCAGCGCTAAGGATGTCCGACTTCAGCTTAGGTCTGCTCCCCACTGGCAAGTGGACATCCCCCGAGGGCTCCCAGGCTGCCAGAGGGATGTCTGACTGCCAGCTTAGGCCCAATCCCCCAGGGAGCGGGCCTAAGCCAGCAGGTGGTCATCCCCCGAGGTGTCCCAGACTGGGAGAGGGCACAGGCTGGTCTGAGGGACCCCCCCGAGTGCACTGGGCCTTTAGCCTATATATATTACTAGTAGAGCATAGGAGTTGTTGGGGACCCAAGGGCAACAAAACAAAAAAAGGAATGAGAACATGTGACTGCTAAACTGTGGCAATGTCTTGAGTGCAATAAAATTCAGAGAGAGGGACCAGCAGATTCACGAAGGTCTGAGCAGGGACAGAGGACCAGAGGGAAATTTCAATAAGCAGCAAAACAAAAGGTGATCAATCCAGGTGGGAAAACAGTATGAGCCAGAGTCAAAAATGGAAATGAGCACCATATAGTTATTTCTAAAAGTCTTCCATGTGGTCTAATAATAACATCTTTTGAGCACTTACTATGTGTCAGGCACTATTCTTTTTTTAAAAATGTATTTTTATTGATTTCAGAGAGGAAGGGAGAGTGAGAGAAACATCAATGATGAGAGAGAATCATTGACTAGCTGCCTCTTGCACGCCCCCTACTGGGGATCAAGCCCACAACCTGGGCATGTGCCCTCGGCCAGAATTGAACCTGGAGCCCGTCAGTCCGCAGGCCGACGCTCTATCCACTGAGCCAAACTGGCTAGGGCAAAGGCACTATTCTTAGTGTTTTACACGTATGTATTACCTCATGTAACACAGCAATACTGTCACGAAGAGCACACTGCACAGAACATTCTTTCTGTTGCCCTTAGACACGCTGGCATCTCTGGGTCTGTTTCTCCTCCTGCATGAGAAGGTAGATAATGCTACTGTCCTGTCCATGAATATATGCATATGGATAAACACAAGAAGAGACTAGATAGAAAATGATATACCTGTTAGGATAAATTGATGGATAAATGGTAACTCTATCTTAAATTTCTTTTTTTAGGAACTGCAGACTGCTCTCCAAGGTAGCTGCATACGTTACATTGTCACCAGCAGGGTATGAAGGGCCCAAATTTGCCACATTCTCTACCAGTCCTTAGGTGGATTTTTCATTATAGTCGTTCTACTAGGTGTGAGTGGTATCTCTTTGGGGTTTTAATTTGCATTTCCCTGATGGCTAATGATGTTGAGCATCTTATGAAGTGCTATTGGCTATTTGCGTATCTTCTTTGGAGGAATGTCTATTCAAATCCTTTATCATTTTAAAAACTGGGTTGTCTTTTTTAATGTTGAATTGTAAAAGTTCTTCATATATTCTGAAAAGAAGTCCCTTATTAGACATATGACTTGTACACATTTTCTCCCATTCTGTAGGCTGTCTGTTCACTTTCTTAACTGTGTTTGTTCTCACATTTAGGTCGTTAATCCATTTTGAATCAATTTCTTTTGGTACATGGTGTAAGTGTCCAACTTCACTCTTTTTGCATGAGGCTATCCAGTTGTCCCAGCACCATTTGTAGAAAAGACTATTTGTTTCCCATTGAATGGTCTTGGCACTGTTGACAATCAGGTGGCCATAAATAGATGCGTTTATTTCTGAACTCTCAATTCTGTTCCATTGATATATACATATGCCTATCCCTTGTTAGTGCTATACTGTGCTCTACAGTAAGAATTTAGAACAGAAAGTGTGAATCCTCTTTGTTCTTTTCAAAATTGTTTTGGTTGTGGGTCCCATGAGTTTCCATATGAATTTTAGGATCAGCTTGTCAATATCTACAAAGATGCCAGCTGGGATTCTGATAGAAATTGTGGTGAAACTATGAGTCATGCTAGCTTAACATTTAAGATTTTTGATCCATGAACATGGAATAGTTTTCCCACTTATTTAACCCTTCTTTAATTTCTTTCAATGATATTTTATAGTTTTCAGAATGTTTTGCATTTCTTTTAATTTATTTTTTAAGTATTTTATTCTTTTTGATGCTATTATAAAGAGAATTATTTTATTTTCAGATTTTTCATTAATAGTGTATAGAAATGTTGATTTTTGTACATCGATCTTGAATCCTGAAATGTTGCTGAACTTAATTATATGTTCTAATAGGCTTTTAGTGGATTTCTTAAGATTTTTCTATCTAAAAATCATGTCATTTGTGAATACAGTTTTACTTCTTTTCCAATTTGGATGCATTTAATTTCATTTTCTGGCATTAGAGACAAACTGCAAACCAACAAATAAAAGAAAAACATCAGAGCAATAATGTCACAGTTGTACAGAAATAAACTATGATATGACAGTGACTTGAGTAGCTACTTTAGATTGAGTACATGGAAATGCCTCCTGGTGGAACTAAGAGCTAACCTAAAATCTGAATTATAAGAAAAAGCCTTCTAGACAGTGAGAACAGCTAATGTGAAGAGACTGAAAGGTGGGAATGAGCTTACATGTTTGAGGAACAGGTGAGCTAATGTGACTGGACTGTACGAAGCAGGAGGGAAAGGAGGTCTGAGAGGCAGCCAGGGGCTGGGCCATGTAGGCCTTTGTAAGCCCACGCCATGGAGGTTGGATTTTATTCTAGGTTTGATGAAATGCTACTAGAATGTTAGCAGGGGAGCAATGTGATCTGATTCACATTCAAAATCACTACAGTTGCTTTGTGGATAACAGAGGTTGGAGTGGAAGCTGGGGAATCCCTTGGGAGACATTTGCAGCACTTCATGTAAAAGTTACTGACTTGGGCGGTGCTAATGGCGATGGAGAGAAGCAAAAGGATGTATAGGCTGTGATGATGAACTGGATGTGGGGGGTGAAGGGAAGAGAGGAATAAGAAGTAATTTCTAGATTTCGGTTTGTGCACTGGGGAGGCAATAGTACCATTTTCTAAACTGTGGAAGACTGGACTTTAACAAGCAGGGAGCTGTGGGGCTGTTGGCTCTGTTTTGATTATGTTAAGCTGCAGACACCTATTGGTGTTTCAAGTACAAATGCCAAGTAGGCGTTGGATACACAAGACTGAAAGAAACGACAGGAAGTGAGCAAGGGTCACCAGTGAGCCAGGAGAGACTGACTGTTTCAGGCAATCCAAGGCATATTATTTCAAGAAGGTATTGGAATGTGCGGATAGGCCCAGATCCCAATCCCTGTGTGGGTTACTTTACTCTCTGAACTTACTTCTCCACCCATAAAATGAGAATACTGGATTTGGGGGCGGGGTGGGGGGGGCGTATTGTGAGACCTTCCTGGGGAGATGGAATGATTCAGATCAAGGGATGTTTCAAACTACTTTTGTCATTAACATTTATTTCAATTAAAGAAACGTGAATTCAGAATTAATGTAAGGTCAAACCTCAAAGTATTTGGCAAAAGAAATGCTATTAAGAGCTTCAATAAAATGTTTGTGGTTCTTGTGTTATGTTCAACAGACATTAATAAAATAAAAGCACATTTTGAAGAGAACCAAATTCTGATAAATTGTGGTTTGTAAGAATTTGTTACTATCGGTTAAAAATCAAAAGGGCATCTTTTCCTCGTCTGGTTGTGACTGTCACAGCACAATGTAACATGTATATGCCTAAATCCTTTAAATTAGAGAATACAGTAAACTAAGCAAGACTCTAGTATTTAGCAGGGCTTACAGATTATGTCCTATAAAACATTTTCTTTTAAAAATAAAAAATTTATAATCCATTTCAAAAATATCAATTGAAAAATATAAACTGCAACACAAGTTTCCAAACATAAGTTCCAAAACCTTGGCCAAGCCATATATTTAACATCAAATAAAATCTAACTTAATTTATCAACTAAAACACTCACTAAAAATAATGGTTTCTGTATGTGTTTACTGAGTATAACACTTCAACATTTCAACAAAAATTGCTGTTCTGTCATATTATCAAAGTCAGTTCTCTAAATACTTTGAAGAAATGTCAATTATAAGGCAAATCTTCATTTAAATTAGAAACAGTGCATCTTAAAGAGACCTATATATAAATAATTCCTAAATACATACTTTATGTGCTTATGGTTTGGAAAAATTTTCCCTGAGCACTCTTTCTTCTTTGTTAGAAAAATTAAAACATGATCTATAGAATTTTGATTTCTCTCGAATATATGCAGTTTTTCACCCATCAAATGCATTTGGGAATCTTTCTTCCTAGACAGCTCTAAAGCAATAAGTAATTATAACTGCTTTAAAGGGCTATTGGAATAGCTATAGACATATGGTTGGGTTTTAGAACCCTGAGAACGATATAGTGGGTATCTCAGACAACCTAAATGATTTACTATCCTAAAACTATCAATGGTTATTTTAACAAATTCAGGATGGCACTAGCCTCACAGAGAAAGAGTCAATAATCAGTAATTCCAGCTCAGATGACCAATAGGTAAGCATTAAAAAACAAAAGAGAAAAAATTGGATTGACATTGTGCTTTCTTTCCATGGAATAACACTGAAAACATTTAACCCTTCTGCCCAACACAAGACATACCTCACCATGACACTTTATTTAATGCAGTCTTGAGATCCATCCCTCCTTAATATTCATGCAAACTTAAAATCAGCATCACTGAGAATTTCATCACACAAACTGCAGTGCTCAACGCTACCCTACAATTCACAGGAGACATGCCAAGTCGGTGCACATGCATGGTACCACTACCAGGTGTGTTCGCCTAATTTTTTAAGGTCTTAAGAGATCTTAGCTACTCAAGAGTTTAGGCCTCTTCTCTTTCAAATAAATAAACTAATATTAGGAATCTAAACTAATTTGTAAATACTAATTTTCTATATAGCCTAGCATCACACTAAAAGAAAATTAGATAAGAATTTCATATTTACAATTAGATTTCATAAGACCTAATTATATGCTTCCCTTAGCATTCTGATTTATGATGTTTGCAAGAATAATTAATAAATAACTTAAAACATTTAGAAGTCATCGTTCTGAAGATCTCCAAGAGGTGAGCAATTTCGGATGTCCGGAGGTGTGTCTGCTGCCTCTGTAGTTACACGTTAAGGTGCTTTATGCAGGACGCCCTGGACCAAAACGGCTTTTCGACCTACATTTTTTAAACAGGAAAGAAGGTCAGAGGTGCTTCTCAAACAATAGAAAGTTACTGCTGCTTAGGTTATGCTTGCTTGATAGTATCGAAGATTAAGAAACTTTATGTAGCTCCCTAATCCCTTTTTAAAAACCCTTGGAGTGAGATTTGGATTTTTTTGTTTTGGGGAGATAATATGGCACCTGGATTGTATGTTACGGATCTGGAGCAGTGTCCCATGATCGAACGCTTTAATGTTCTTCACAGTGAAACGAATGAACATTTTCATTAAGTGGGATAAATAAAAACTACAAATAACATCATAGTAGCTCAGTTTAGGTTTGAACTGACAGATATAAAAAAATCTTGTAGTTTTCTGAGCTTTCTGGATTTCTGCATTGCAGATAAGGCTTTGGATCTGTAGTATTAATGATCAAATCTCAGTTACTGTTAATCTTTAAAAGAAAAAGTGTGACATAAAATAACACAGGGCCCACAAGTTAGATTTTTAAAAGAGAAATAAAATAAAACAACGAATGAGAAAGACTTCAGTGATTTATATAAAGTAATAATATATAACTCATAAACAGTATAAAATTCTGCTAATTCACAGTAACACTATTGCTTATATTTTTATCAGCAGTTGGGTCAGAACAGAACTGAATCAATAAACAGAATACTTATAAGAACTACACTTTCATTAAATTTTGTGCTTATGACCTTTTAAAGTCTTAACTTTTAAGTTAAAATCTGATTCTTATTAATGTCTTGGTCTAATCCTTGAAACAAAACAAAACTCAAATTATGTACTTCTAGTGTCATATGATTTTCCCTAAAATAAAAAAAAATAAAATAAAAAATCCCTTCGAAGCCAATGGCACTCTGAATTCTCTTATGCTGACTTACCTCGTGTTTTTCTCGGAGCTTCCCTGCCGTACACTGACTGGCACTGTGGCCTTGATTTGTGCTTCAAGCCTGGAATAAATACCTCCTGCAAACTGCAGAATAAAGGGACAAAATTTAGACATTATCTTTACAGAATCAACAGAAGCTGTGCTTTATTAAAACGGCATTGCTTTTGCCCTAGCCGGTTTGGCTCAATGGATAGAGAGACCCTTGGCCTGCGGAATGAAGGGTCCCTGGTTCGATTCCGGTCAAGAGCACATATCCAGGTTGTGGGCTCGATCCCCAGCAGAGGGCGTGCAGAAGGCAGCCCATCAATGATTCTCTCTCATCATTGATATTTCTCTCTCCCTCTCCCTTCCTCTCTGAAATAAATAAAAATGTATATATTTTTAAAAAGGTATTACTTTTTAACTTAAAAGTAACTTTATTTTGAAAAATTCAGGCTGACTTATAGTTTACATACATTAAAATTCACCTTTTTTTTAGTAAACATTTTGTTTTGATAGATGCATACAGCTGTGAACCATTGTTACAACGGAGACAGAATTGTTCCTTCACCCCAAGAAAATCCCCTTGAGCCTCTTTTAAGTCAACTAATTTGACACTAGCAATTCTTGGAACCACCCATCTGTTTTATGACCCTATGGTTTTGCATTTTTCTAGAACATTATATAAATAGAATGATACAATCTGTAGACTTTTGCATCTGGCTTCTTTCATTTAGCATAATGTATATGAGATGCATTTATGTTGTTGAATTCAGTAGTGTGTTATAGAACTTGCCAAACTGTTTTCCAAAGTGATCATTCCTTTTGCATCCCTACTTGGTATATTTGAGGGTTCCAGTTGATCCACATTCTTGCCAGCATGTTTTTAAAAAATCTTGAGATATTCTAGTTGGTGTACAGTGATGTATCATTGAGGTTTTAATTTACATTTCCCTAATGATGAAATCTGTTGCATCTCACCTGGCCGGTGTGGCTAAGTGGTTGAGCATCTACTGAAGAACCAGGAGGTCGCAGGTTCAATTATCTGTCAGGGCACATGCCCGGGCTGCAGGCTCCATCCCCAGTAGGGGATGTGGAGGAGACAGCTAATCAATGATTCTCTCTCATCATTGATGTTTCTATCTCTCTCCCTTCCTCTCTGAAATCAATAAAAATATATTTTTAAAATCTGCTGCATCTTTTTGTGTGCTTATTTGCCACCTGTAACCTTCTTTTAAGAAGTGTATGGTTAATTTTTTGACCATTTCTTTTAATGGATTGTTTATTTTATTTTTGAGTTTTGAGAGTTATATATTCTGGATACAAATCCTTTACCAGAGAAGTGTTTTACACATATTTTTTCAAAGCTTATGACCTGTCTTTTCATTTTCTTATTAGTGTCTTTCAAAAAGAAGAAATTTTACATTTTGATGACGTCCAATTTGTTAATTTTTTTTCTTTTATGGGTCATGTTTTTGGTGTGGTAGCTAACATATACATTATTTGCCTAATCCAGGTCACAAAAATTTCTTGCCTATGTTTTCTCTTAGAAGTTTTATACGGAAGTAATTTTTTAAATAAAAAAATAGGAGCAAGTCCTAGATTGTTTGACTCAGTGTCGGCCTGTGGACTGAAGGGTCCCAGGTTTGTTTCCGGTCAAGGTTATACGCCCAGGTTGCGAGCTTGATCCCTGGTAGGGAGTGTCCAGGAGGCAGCTAAACAATGATTCTCTCTCATCATTGATGTTTCTATCTCTCTCTCTCCCTCTCCCTTCCTCTCTGAAATCGATAAAAATTTTAAAAAATTTAAAAAAACATAGCAAGAGTAATTATAACTAAACATTACCAATACTGTGGTAATACATAGTGTTATGGTTAATATATAATTTTAGTAAGAACATAGGTATTTCTAGTCATCATTTTCAGCAAGAAAATATCTTATTTTAGAGATAACATCTAAGCACTGAAAGCAGAGTTGATCAAATCAGCAACTTCTTAAAAGTAACCCTCTGGATAGTCAGCATCTGGTCAGCAATGCACCATTAGCCTCTGCTGGTGTGACATCACACATCCAGTGACAATGCACTTTATTATATGTGTTATAGAGGACCTATGAACCACAGACAATAAGCGGTAGCAGAAAACTTTTATGTGAATGAATTGGCTAACTGGTATCCTATCTAATAATAGAGAAACATGGTAAATAGCCGTACCTCCGGTACCCTTCCCATTGGCTAATCAGGGCGATATGCAAATTAACTGCCAACCAAGATGGCGGCCGGCAGCCAGGTAGCTTA